CATATAAATGAAGCTTTTTATTGATACAAAACACAACATGCTACCGTAAAATGCAGAGAAAACGCAACCGAAACAAAGAATACCAAACCTGAAGCATGAGGGATTTGTGCTTTTCAAGAGCATTGAAACTAGTTACAGTCTTGTTCGCTGCGGACGCTGGGGCGCGTCAGAGGAGCCGTGCTTGGTGAAGCTCAAAAATTCGAAAAAGAACTGACGCCGCGTCAATCTAGCCTCCCTGAAACGCGCTAGCGTCCGCAGCGAACAAGACTGTTTTACAATCAGCAAGTATATAAAATTCGTGCATCAATCCACCGGGTAGAATATAGAACCTGACCTGTTAAAAAGCTCAACTGTCAAAAAATGAGCAAAAAGCAACACTATAGAGTGAACCGCAGGTTGAACATCACCGTGAAAATTCAAAGCCACACGTGAGTAAGCTCGGTTAAAAACATTGCTCGGTATTCTCAGCCGTACAGAGCCAGAAACCATTATGTCTTTTGCGGTGCTGAAGGCGGATGAGGAAAAACATACCAGTAACGTCTTTCCTCTCTCACACTGCAGCTCGTTGAGCGCGTTCATACCCCACGATCGAAACGCTCATGCAACCCGATCGCCGATCGCCTAATCCAAGCGCCTATCGTGAAGTATGAACGAACAAGTACGCAGCCAACACGAGGAAGCCTCATTGATGCACTAGGCTCTATTCCAGTGAAGCGCTACGCAGGGTGTCACAATGCTGCATTTGGGTCAAAACTTCCTTACTACTCCGGGATAACAGCATGCTGGGACCGCTTGCGTATTACGGGTATGTAGCAAGAGAATCGTAATTCGCCGCGCCAGTGGCGTCGCGTGCGACGTCGCGCCCGCTAATGACGACGATTTTAGGTGGTATTGGTCGAGAATAGACAATGTATGACCAAAAATAGACACAAGTGTCTGCCAAGTCCCACATGAAATCGCCAACGGAAGGGTAGTGCAAATTAAGGGAACGTCGCCCCCATTGCCGCGCGAGGTGAAGCGGCAATTTACGATTCTCTTGCCCGCCTCTCGCGTATTACACTGGTAATCTTGAGAGCGACAATTAAAAGGTAGCTAATCATCAAATTCCTAGCACTCTAGTTTGCTAGTTGCTGTTTCGCACGACTCAGACGTTCCACAAACGGCCACAGCAGGAATTCGATGAATTCACACAGGGACATTCGACGATCAAAAGCTGCCTTAATGAGCTTTCTTATGTGCTGGTCACCGATAACGACACCATGCGTTGTTACGGATACATGCCACTGCTCCTCATTGTTCAGACCTGGAAACCGTTGGAGAACAACTGAGAAGTAGACCGGAGTAATAAAATAAGGAGCTGCATTCACCTTCATAGAAAATGAACTTTACAATGGTAGATGCGCCCTTGAATCGTGTTATGAAGAAGAAGCCTTTGCCATCACATCGGGCCGTACAATAGGAAACATAGACACTTTCAAACTGAAAAGTCGAAGTTGGAAACGAACCGTGAAAGATCAAGGAAATCATGGACAAGACCTCTCTTATACCCGGAAACTCCTTTTCTACCAGTGCTACAGCATTCTTCATCCACCATCTCAATGTCGAAAGCTCGTTCTCTTGAAAATACAGCATCAGATTAAATAAGAGTCTGTAAGCGTTAAGTAGCGTTAACTACCTGTATCTTGATCGCCTGTGGTGACCTTAGCGCGAATTAGGTGGCAATAAACCCGATAAGCACGATGCAGTTTCCGGCGATCCGCGGCACCGGCTACATTAACGGCTATCGTATTGCGAACAGTTGGGTAGACAGCGTCAAACAGCTGAAAGGAGTACAATAGAAAAACGGGTTTAAATTCTGAAGGACTCAAAAAACTCGAAAAAATTCTCCAAGTTGCTGCAAAAATTCTGGAGTCTTTCGTGAAGATGTTTGGGTCTCACTGCTGATTTGATGTTGTGTAGTAGAAAGGTTCGGTCGGATATCCACAAATTATTAGTTCAATCACCCCCCCCCCCCAATTTGAATCTGAAGAAGGCGATCCCACTGAAATGTAGCCCAATGAAGTTGGTTTATCATTCTCGACTAAAGTTGAAGCAGAGCGTCATATTACATACATGAAACGGTTCTAGAAAAGAGTGAGAGAGAAAAAATTTTCTTGAACACCGCGATCCCATCGGTACAGAGAAGAGCGCTGGAATTGGAAATGAATAAAAAGAATGCTCGCAAGCTTCTACGCGGAGAAATGGAGGTGTCTCAAACTGTTCTTCCTCTGAGATCATTTATAGAAGCTTCTCGCGGTGCTTCGCTTTTGGATAGCTCCATAGAATTGTACTCATTTATATTTGGAAGGATAAGCAGCTGTTTTCTAATGCTAGCTCTTTGCTTTGAAACTGCTCCAATTTTTCGTTGTGAAGGCTTACAAACTCGGAAAACCCCAACCAAATAGAAATCCATAGAAGTGCAGCGAAGTTGGAATGCGTTCATACTTTGCATTTGCGTTTTGAGCGTTTCGAGCGACTACGAAAGTAAAGGTACCGATCGAGCGTACGCCAGCGTGCAACAGCGCTTTGAGAGATAAGAGAAGTGTGGATATCGATCTAGCCTTCCGAAAGTCTGACAGCGTTTTCATCAACTTTCCTCCAAAAGCTCAAAACCGTTCGCGAAAACTCTGGAAACGCTGGCGTACTCTCGAAACGCTGGATAAATACCTACACTTTCCTGGTCGCTCGAAACGCAAAAACGCTGCCGCACGCTTAAAACGCTGACGCAAAGTATGAACGTAACTTAAACGCACTATTTGAGTCGTTTAACGATGGCTGACGTTCCGACCAAATTGTAATGATGGCTTTGGAGACGCGATCTATCCAAATCGTGAGGATAGCCGACCATTACCTCGATATGTTCTCTTACTGGATTGCTGTTGTGGTCTCGATTCCGGAACCATTCATGGAAACATGTCGGCTCACCGCATCTGAACAAAATTCTAACGATACAATGTCAGACGAAAATGACCACCAAAAAGGAAAAGCCCCCTTCAACTACCACAAAATGGTTCGAAATCTGTCAAAAAGAAAAAAGAACGACTAGACACTATGGCCTTCTGAAACTCAGACACATACCGCGGTTCAAAAAGCCATCATGGGAACATTATTCAAACTATTGAAAAAAAAAACCAAATACACGTCATTGAGAGAAGAACTCACTTCGGCTCATACAAAACCCCACGAAGTTTCACCAAATGGGCAGATTTCGAGAGCGTTTTGTCCATTATCGTTTTGTTTGCATGCACCATCGTCTTAAATTAATGTGTAGATCAGGACAAAAAAAACCCAGTCAGCTCATCACTTTAGAAAGACCTGCACTTCATGGAATTCATGGAAGCGCCCACCTGTCAGAGCGTATGGAAGCTTAGTAAGTGGCTGGTCCCATGTAGTTCCTCTGTGTACTGTAATTCTACCAGCTTGACAGCGTAGTTGGTGCGGCTGTTGATCTCCTGGAGTTTTGTTGTTTCTCTTACTTTGTTGCAGTCTTTTACAGCCCTTTTCCTATAAAAACGGCTGCACAGTTATGTGTGGATATTGCGCGATCACGCAACCAGCTTCGCTTCAGCGTAGTCGGGTGCATCGGCGACAATGCCCGTTTGTCCTTTCCTCCCTGCGAGCAGAACGGGGCTGCCGCATGACTTTGCAGAATAGACACAGTCGTGCAGCAGGTACCCTTTCCGATCCATTTCCTCGAAACACGTTTCAGGCACTGTTCACAGTCTGCAACCCTGACGAAACAAAAACAATAAGTACTACTGATCGGAGAATCGCCGACCGCTCTGGAGAAACGCCGCCGCGGTTCGGCGTACGGCGAAAAGCAATAGATGCGTATCGATTTCGCTGGCTCCGCCCTAGAGAAAAACGCCGGAGCGGTCGGGATCAGGGCACATCGTTGTTGGGGAATCCCCAATAGGGGGGTCGTATTTGGGCTGAGAAAAATTTATTTTGATAGTTGATTTTTCTCGCTTCATGGACGTTGTAAAGGAGGGGGTCGTACTTGGTCATTTTTGGGAGGGGGGGGTCGTATTTACGTTTTGGCGTTGTGGGAGTGGCGGTTGACTTTTGGTGATTTTCCTGTTTCACGTACTAAATGCCTTTGGAAAAAAGGGGCAGGAAGCTGGGGATAATCTGATTGTAGAGGGGGTGGGGTCGTATAGAGTCGACTAAAATCCCCAACCAATTGTGCCCTGGTCGGGATAGCGTTTTTCGCCCAACCGCTCCGCCGAACCGCCCGTCGATACGTATCAAAACCGTTTCGCGCAACCGCCAGACTCTTCGCCCAACCGCCAATCGATACGTATCGAAAGCTTTTCGCCGGAGCGTTTCTTTCTAGAGAAACGCTGGGCCGCAGACTGTGAACAATGCCTCAGCGGTGTGGTACGCGTCCGAGTGCTTTGTACACAGGGTACAGCATCGTTGTGTGTACACATGGGGGTTGTACTTGGCCGCTAGGGAGGAGGGGAGGATCGTGTCTGGTCGTTATCAGGAGAGGGCCTGGATGAGTCTGGTACGAAGCCAAACCCGTTCTCCACCAGTTGTTAAAGCGAGCAAATGATATGACTGTATCATATCGTTCGTATTACTCGTTTTCTACCACTTTTTGTCGCATGCGCGCTTCAACAAGAAGGCAGAGAACGGCTTTGACGGGGTGACACACTCATACTGCCTGACACGCCCAACCGTCCGCAGCGTACAGATCCCTCCTCCTGGAAAATGTGGGAAATTCCGGAAAAACCGGTAGGAAGCTGGGAACCTGTGGGGAAGTGGTACGTAGGTGTTGGGGAAAGGGGAGGTGTCGTCCCGACACCAGCATTTCCCACATCACGACGCTGTACCCTGCCTGTGGATAAGTTAACAAGCTGAACACGGCAACACTGTAAAACTGGGCAGAAGCAGTCGTGAGTTCACATCTCGAACTGATGACAATGGATCGCTCGCGCGTTTGGTGCCAGGTATCCGTTGGCGCCGGTTGAGGCGCTGGGCGCATAGTTGACGACAATTGCGCACAGCGCGCGCTGCGCGCAATTGGCGTCAACCGGACTATTGCTTCGAGGGGGTGTATGTCGTTTGGCGCGATTTTTTGTCGTCTACACGTCAAAACATGTCAGGCAAACCGACTTCCAATTGAAACAGTTCATCCGAACCTCCAAACTAATGTATTTCCCTAATTGGTCATTAGAAAAAGACTTGGTTTGAAATCATGAGCACAATAGGCAACAGTCACTGTTTTAGGTGAGCTATAATTCGCGAAAACCTCACAATTCAGTGATTCGGTCAAGTTATCCAACTTGGTAGGTACGTACCGTTACTCGTCAGAACACGTCAACTGTAAAGTGATCGCGCCAAACGATCGCCCCTTCCTTGAATGATCGGCTACGCGGCAACTAAAACTTTTGGTAGGGTCCTAGCGCGAAAGGTCAGAGCGCAGAGAAACAAACGAATGCACCTCCGAAGGCATCGGAAGGTGATGTCGTGCACAGGGATGAGCTTTTCCCGGGGGAGGGGACTCCGGCTGCGCCACTAATCTGTGTGTAAAGTTGGGATGTGAAAGGTCGCAGTGGTCATAGAATATCATTCAGACATCATTCCCGAAGCTCAATTACCTGGTCTTCTTTGCGTTCAGCTGGAGTTCATTTTCAGCGAGCACATCCTGCCACCTCTGCACCTTGCCTTCGGGTTCTTCCCTGCTATGCGCAGGGTGATGTCGGCAGCGTACAGGATGATTCTCAATAGCCCTTCCGTGAGTTTCTTTGTCATGAAATCCACAGTCAGAAGAAAAGAAACGGGCTGAAGACTGGTCCTTGGTGTACTCCAGCAGCAATGCGCACCCCTTTTCGTCAAGTCGTCTTGGGTGCGTAGGCGCTTTAGCCACAGCACTCATGTCCTTCACTATGGAGACCAGATGTCTTGTGACTTTTCGTTCCCTGAGCTCTTTCGAGAGCAGAGGCCATGGCAGACGGTCAAAGGCCTTTTCAAGGTCCACGAAGGTTAGGTACCAGAGTTGCCGCTTCTCTCTACACCTCTCCATCAGCTGTGTGGCGATGAAGATGACAGCAGTGGTGGACTTTCCGGCCACAATGCCGAACTGCTCCTCACAGATAGGGACGTGTTCACTGCAGCGTCCACCCGCAAGCAGTAGCGTCCACTAGCGTTCCGAGCGTGCGGCAGCGTCACCGACTAGGACAGTATAGATATCGACCTAGCGTCTTCCAACCTCTACCAGTGTCTGTCAGCGCCCACTAGCGACCAGTAGCAGACTGCGGTTAAGGTATGGGAAGGTATGGGGCGATAGGAGAAAAGCAGCCGTCTGGTACCTTCCTATCGCCCCCATACTCACCACTCCCGGACGCTGCTGGTCGCTGGTAGACGCTTGTAGACGCTGGTGGACGCAACTGTTTGCTAGATCGATATCTATACTTTCATAGTCGCTGACGCTGCCCTCCGCTCGGAAGGTTGGTGGACGCTGCCGCAAAGTATGAACGCAGCTCTAGCCTTTTGTTGACTAGCCGCTCGTACAGCTTCATGGTATGCGGCGTCAATTTGATGCCGCGGAAGTTCAACGATGAGGGCAATTGTGCTGCTCCTCGAAGCATTCGGTTCCGCTGCTCTCCGGGAACTTTCCATGCCTCTATCGGTGCCCCATCTTTAGTACTGCTTTCCCAACCCTCATTCTTCCTAACTCTCAGTGCGGACCTGAACCTTGATAAATCTCATTTTCACTGCAATCCTTGAGACCGGTCACGCCGTTGCTCATCAGAAATGATTTCTTTTGTTTACTGAGAATCATTCCTTTAGTCTTGCCGCTGCTAACCGCCCGCCCAATCGCTGTTGTGTGGTTCATTTTGTTTTTCATATTACTGTTAATATGTTGGTACTCGTACAAGGTTCCCTACTTGAATGTGTTTTTACAATCGTTGGATTCATAACAACTGCTGTTAGTCCTTTCCCTATGCAGTCACTTCACCCAATAAGACTGAGTTTCGAATTTGTTGCTTCCAGTGCATCGTATTTCTGTGTAAAAGCAAAAAGAAAAGTAAAAGGCGCAGTGCTGCAGGTATGGTGAGGTTGCTGCCCGGCCAGTTCCATGAGGAGTCGAAATACGAGTATTCCACGCAACCACGTGGGTTTGGTTTTCTTTTCGTAGGTTCATTGGAATTCTGGACTGCTTCTGAAGTTGTTCTTTCCGTTACCAAGATTAGCCGAGTAGGCACCCTGCGTTCATACTTTGTCGCAACTGAATGGAAAACCAACAGCTCGTAGAACGGAGAGCACCAAGATGGTGAAGCCGTTCCCCTCCTATACGCAGCGTTCATACTTCGCTACTCGAGAATCGCAAGGCTGGACTGCTGGATTTGTGTGTGTGAAGTCTGAGTGCTGCCCAATGCTGCAGGAGACACTACACACTGGGAGACGGAGCCAAACAGGCTCAAGTGATGTGAAAGCGGACTTGCTCTGAGCCACCCTTGCTGCTATGTGCCTTGCGCCCTACCTTGGCCACCTTGGCACTAATGTAGTTGCAGGGCGCCACACTGACAGGGATGGGCCACTGTGGTCATTGCTGTTCTTCTGACGAGTCGTTACCAGGGCCAAGTCATGGAGTTGGGCTTGATCTTGGCTGACTAGGCCCCACCCCTTCCCACAAAATCTCCCCTATGAGCACTTCTCATATTCTACCTAGTTCGCATTTACCAAGTTCCCTCATAAATGTTGCCGTCAAGCTGCGGAGGGGGTTGTAGACATCTCCGATCAAATCTGGGGAAATAGCGGTTCTGCAGTGCCACCAAACAGGGGAGGGCAATGTATAGCGGGCCTGAAATGGAAAAAATCAACATTCGGAAAAGTTTTCGCAAACCAGATACGACCTCCTCTCCTCCGGCGACCCCCAACGTACGTCGTGCCCTGGTCGTAATCCATTTCTCTCTTGAAACTTAGACATGTCTTGTCAGAGGAGAGGGGCTGGTTTTGGAGTCCATTCTAATCCATTCTCCACCAATTGTTGACGCTTGGTGGCTTGAACAGTTGGTGGAAAACGGGCTGGCACCACGCCAAACCCACCCTTCTGATACGCTCGAGCATCAAACAAGGCTTTGTAACAGTGCAGACGATCGGAGTCGCGGCGACCGAGTGTGGCCGCGAAGCCCTCCCCAACTACGTTAGCAACCCCTTCTACCTGCAACATGGGGACTTGCTCCCCTCAAACCTGACCGCTTCGTCTATTATTCTGATCTGAACTGGCAATCAGTGTACAGCATCACTCACTCCATGATGCTCTCTGGCGACCAAGGGAGTCCGCAACTCTCCGGCGATAAGATACGACTCCATGATGGGAATCCCATCATGGAGTCGTATCTTATCACCGGAGAGTTGCGGACTCCCTTGGTTTTCCTCGTTCGTTGACCACCTAATTACCCCAGTTGCTAGCGCCGCAGAACACTACCATTCACTTACTACTTTCAATAGTTGAAACTAGTGGGTGAATGATGACCGCCGACCTTCCTCCTCACACCTTGCCCACTAAAGCAGTTTGTGGGAAACACAGGGAAAACTTCTGGAAGAGAGGGATATAATTGGGGAAGGTGGTAGGTACATTAGGGAAGAAAAGTTGTATCAGATGAAGTAATTCTGGAGGAGGAGAGTGTCACTGACATCGCCATTGCAACCCGTATTCTTTCAGAAGATCCTATGATAACGGCTCTCCAGTTCGAGGATGAGAAAAAGCCGCCACCGGTGCTGGCTGAGACAGGCAGAACGGAGCTGAACGTGGATGTTACCGAGGCAGGAGGAGAGACAGGTTTCGCAACAGCGTTTGGACAGGATGCAGTAAATAAAGATGTGCAGAGAAGTGAAGTGAAATCATCAGCAACTAACGTACAAAAAACTGAGAAGTCTGCAGTAGTTAAGTCATTAAACAAGTCGAAATTTGGCTTCATTCAAGGGCGAAAGTCTAAACCAAGCAAGATCAGGTATGTTTTCTTTATTCGTTGAGAACTTGAGGTTCTTTCTCCACTATTGGGATGGACTTGTGGTTAAAGACAAACTGGGCGCAGTTTGGTTTGGTGGGAGCATTGAGTGATACCCGTCTAACTAGGGAAGGTCGTCAGGTCGAAGTGGCCATTTGTAAAGAGATGTAGCGTCACTAGACCGTTGGTGTTTTTGGGACGCTGATCTCGAATCTGCCTTCGAAATTTGCAGAACGATTCTCTGAGCGGAATTATGAAGGTTTGTTAGAATTAAAACGAAGGAAACAGAGTCGAGCGCGGTCGCCGGCCACGCATGAATAGCCGGGAAGCATCGTTACCTTCAACGGTGGCATGGTGTAGTGGTAATGGTCTTGCTTCACGGGTCTAGTATGAAGGGTTCGGATTTCTGGAAGGGCACTTGTTTTGCATTTTGTGGGGAATGTCTCTTTTAAGTTTAGAAATCACTCAAACGCCAAATGGGTGCCATATTCGTGTTCAGGAAGCAAAACTACCCTTGGGGACAGGTTTCTAGCCAGATGTGAGGTTTTGACCTAACTTTGAAAAGTGCGGTAGCAGTTGATCGAATGATGGTCACCAATAGTTCCAGGCCAGTCTCTTGTCGATTGCTTGTCTTTGGACAGAATTTGCTTTTAGATACCAGGAAAACTGGAGCAGTAACAACATGAATGCGTTAGAAGGGGTAAGACGAGGCTTCGTGCAGGAGAATGTATCTGCAGCTGAATAGGTGTTAACATCAATTGAACTAACCCATGGATGCTTCACTTTCCGAATTCGGGTCAAAATGCCAGATTTGGCTAGAAACCTCTACCTAGGCGGAGTTCCCCGATAAACTCGAACATGGCGTCGCCTCAGCAGCGAGGACGCCTGCACTCCGCGCCAAGGGCACCTGTACATCTCCTAGATCATAAGGCACTAAGCGCGCCAGTAAGCGAACACAAACTGTTTTTCAGGCAAGTCAAGGAGAGCGCTAATGTAGTAGTGACGCTACAACCACTTTTTGCCACGTTTGCACAAGAAGCAAAAAAGTTAAGCTCAGCAGGGATCCGATCCCACGACCTGTTGCGTGGTAAACGCGGTGGAAAAAGCTCCATAACTCGTTCAGAGAATCGTTCTGCAAATTTCAAAGGCAGATTCGAGATCAGCGTCCAAAACCACGTCTAGTGAGCTACATCTCATTACAAATGGCCACTTCGACCTGACGACCTTCCCTAGTAAGCTTGTGCAGGCCGCCTTGTGAATACCTGTAAATTTCTGTGACTGAAGTCATTCACTCGATCAGTTTCGCAGCTTCACATGAGTTCACAGGTCCCGTCTTGGCAAATCCAAGGTGAGACCTGTGAACTCATGTGAAGCTGCGAAACCTGTTATCTAATTAACAGAAGGAATAAGTAAAAGTGCAGAATGCCGCCGAACAGCGCCTCGAACTGTGTGCTCATATCCGTAGGCGTACGCCTAACCATGGCCGAACGCTCCACCTTCCTGCGTCCTCTCTTGCTCTCTCCCTCCGACTGTGTGATTCACTGCGGGTTTCAGTTTGACATAATTGTCATCTTATCTTGTATTGGACAACTGAATGATCACAGTTGTTCCGAAAAGAAAAAAACTTTCCATTAAAAGGGCCGTCGCCCTGACCTTCGAATAGAATGCGCGGCCACGCCCACCATGTCTCGGGAACTTGGAATATAATTATGACAGCTGACAAATCCAACTAATAAGCGGTTGTTGTTTCAGAGAAATGACTCGTTGATATCTGGCGATATAGATGACCGCCTGAAAAGTAGACAAGAATTGAAATCCCAAGTGAAGAATGATAGCTTAAGAACAGAGCAGACCGACTATCGCCTCAAAAGCAACATGCAGTGACACTGTAGAGGTGATTTTAATGAGCTCCATTTCCAATGGTCATTTTTCTTACGAGATTTATTCGAAGTCTGCAACTTCCACGGCAGTTGTCATCAGAGCGGTAGCTTTGGAAGGGGTGTGGAGCGTTACTACGCGGCGAATGCGAGGAAATAGGTGTTGCAAACGCGTTCACACCAGGACCCATTCTACTGAAGGTGGCTGAACTGTGGGCGCGTTGACTCTCTCCCTCCGCGTCTTTTGAGTCGACTAGCACTCTCTGGAGTGTCTGTCTGTCAACTAGCCAGGAAATGCTCTGCTAGGGCGTGCGATGCCGCGACTGGTAAGTAACGCTCCACGGCTCGTCGAAAGCCACTGAGTGATCTGCGGGGTAGGGGAGGCGAGGGAGTTTGGCCGCGCATGAACACCTTCGGCCACGTTCATGCCTTGCAACTCGCGTGATTCAGTCACGCGGTTTTCGAATCGTGCCTCTCCTCCTTGTGCTTCTAATCGTTGCTGCTAGTTCAATCATATTCAGAAGGGGACTGGTTTCGGCCATTTGAAGAGATCCAGCGGCTAGCTGAGGAGCGCGCTTGGTCCCAGTCGCGCGCCTAATTGCTCGAGTCGCAGAGGAGCGCTACCTTGCAGCGCAGACGACCAGAGTCGCCGAGAGATAGCCTCTCGAGTAAGACATACTCTGAATAGATCCCTTTTTAAACCCCCTTTCCATGACTCCAAGACCATCCAGATCAGTTTTCGTGAACTGCAAAGAATTCGCAAGCTATGCACGCTGCCTAATGCTAGCTGACCAGGTTTCGCTCCGCTGCTACTCTTCGAAAGCGCTTCCTTTCAAAGGGCTACCGACCTGCTTGCAGAGATTCCTTGTAATTTGAAAAATTTCAGGAGATCGCTGCTGAACGAAATTATTGACAAAGAAAACAACACTTTATACTGTTTCAAACAGATAAATATTTCAAAAAATTATCGCATCGATGTACAGTAACCTTCCTGAAGTGACCGTTATTAGGGGAAGAGCCGCCTGACGCTTGATGCGCAGTGCTGTGTTCCTTCCCCTGCTGTGGACAGGGCGCTCCCTACGTTGAAGCATGCCCAGGAGAGAATCATATTTACTCGGTGGGGAGGAGGGAGGTCGTATTTGGTCTCAGAAATTTCTTCGTAGATGATTCTCACTGTCTAATTACATCGTGTGAGAGTTCCAGTTGAGGGGGGGAGGCGTATTTGCTTGTCGCGGGGGGAGTCATCCTTGTCTTTGGGGGAAATTACTCGAGCAGCTGAAGAATTTACGTCGGTTTGCCCCGTTTTCAGTGCGCTATGTACCGAATGCCTCTCCCCGCTACCATTCAACTGCCATCACCACTATCATGCTCAACGATAACTTTTAGGGGGCGCAGTTCGGTGATGGGGGGGGGCATTTTGCACTTTCGCTGCTTCACTAGTTCCGGTTTACAAGTCTCACTCTGATGAAACCTGTGAACTCTTGTGAAGCTGGAGCAAGCTCATCAAGCCATCATGGTAAAACCTGCCAACTCGGAAGAGGCTGCGTGGACGGGTCGACACGCCGATGGGAAGAAGCGGAAAGTGCAAAATGCCCCTCCCCCTTCGTCGCCGAATAGCGCCTTTCTGGGGGAAACTCGACGGTAGCTCCCAGGGAAGAGCTGGAGGATTTCTTCTGTAGAGCGGTAGGAAGTAGGAAGAAATAAGATGAGAAAGTAAGAGGAGGATATGGTATTTTCTAAAGAAAGTATCCCCGGCGAAAGGCAGTACCCTGTCTGGGAGACATGGATGTGGCTGATATTGGTGAGCTTCGTAGGATAAGGAACGTCTACGATTTTTTTCCTTTGTTTAGCTTTTGCGGAACATTGTGTGACTTCAGCTCCTCCTTAGACTTTTTTAAGCCCTTGAGACAATCCCGCACTTATTCTGTGCACCGACTCCTGTCACTCAAATTCTCCTGCTACTTGTGGTTCCGAACACTGTGAAGCTTATACATAGCATAGAAAAAATTTATTCGTTGTCTGAGTGCGTAATGCATACGGAGGCTGTAACCACCAAATAATTCTGGAGAAAACGAAGGCAGGTCTGCCGTCGTGCAGCACTGCAGTTGCTGCTTCTGCAATACCCGAGGATCCTCAAAAACCGATAGGATTAGGCAGTAAGAAGTTCGTGGCTGACTGTGCCGTCAAGCTCAGTGGCAGACATTGAGTTGTTGTGCCAACTCGTTCATCTTTCGCTGACAATTTTCCCTCGTAGATATATCAGATCGCTTTTCTTCAGTGGCAGCCCTGAAGTGCTTTCAGACAAAGTTGTCTTAGATTCTGTGACTCTGCTTTCCCATTGGACGCGATAGAATGGTGGGAGCTTCTGTAGAAGGTCCTGAAACGAAACGAACTCACTTACCGAGGAGCAACTGTGATGCCTCCAATTAAATTGAATTGGAGGTTTCATAAGACTTATGCCCAACCTTCACGTCATTGTCGTTGTTCACTATCGGAACTGGTTGAATGTAGAAGTCACTTGCAGCCAGCGTTGATACGTCGGAATCGTCGAGCTGAAAAACTCTCTTGAAGAAGAAAAGATCTATCAAAAGCCTTGTTCGGATTAGAGAGGAGCATTTTGCATCTTGGCTAGCTCGTTGTTGGTATGTCAACTAACAAGTCATACTTCGGTAAGACGTGTAAAATCCTGTGGCATTGCGGAATTGGCCCAGTGAGCCACTTTGGTCATAGGAATTTACAGGTTTTCACAAGATGGTCTGCACAAATTTCGCTGAGTACCATTTGCTGCCCCTCCGAGCCGAACTGTGCCTTTATTAAATCCGATATTTCAAAGAGCTCCCCATGTGCTTATATCTGTTCAGAACCAATACTTTATAGAGTAAGAGGTTGGACTTGAGTGATGAGATAGTGTACTTCATTCCTTCAAGAGGGCAGAGAGGGGGGGTGCATAACAACACACAACACCAGTTTTGCTCTTTTTTTCCTCAATTGTCTCTCTCCAAATACGTGAAATCGTATTAAAGGAAGACATTTATGGTCATTTTCTTTGCAAATGCTGGGGAGTGTCAGGGGCTCTGATTGGCGCAGGGCGAGCCCGTTTCAAATCAGTTCTTGGAGCGGGCAAGCACGAAAACTTTTGGAAAAGGGGTGGCACCGCACCGAAAAAGCATTGTTGACACCCCCAGCATCTGCAACGAAATCTGCTGTAGACGAGCTATGGATTCATGTCGTAGCGCCCTTAGCCCTCCTCTGCTATCTCATCTTGAACACTAAATTACTAGTGAATTACTGTAGTGGGATGATTCTAAGAGTCTGATCGCTTCAGGTCTTCCACACCTACTGAGAGTGAGTGCTCTCGAAATGAGTTACAACAAGTAACAACAAAGTGCAATAAGCAATATCGAGCAAGGGTTCTACAGATACACAGGTATTCTTTCCTAGCTTTGACAAGTTGAGGTGACTATGCTTTTCGAATGCGATCCTTTATGCAATACACGTTCAATGCACGTTCATAGGAATAATGATGAACAGAATGGCGCATGCGTGACATTTCAAACTCCCTTGTTTAGTTGAGGTTCAACGACGCTGGGCGGAGAGCTTTGTGCAAGACTAGGTCATGCCCCCTGTTTGTCTGCTGCATTCGAGACTAACAATAAA